GTTGGTCTTTGCTCCTAGTTCAGCGCTTTAGTAATTCGGATTGATGTTTTTGTGCTTGTCTGAAGCTGGCTCTTTCTTGTGCTGTCCCTTTCTCGGAATAGGTGGAGAAACTGCGTTAGAGGTCAGCGTTTGTGCTCAGGGAGTGTCATATGGTGACCGGTGGAAGCATCCAGCTTCTTTTGGTCTTAGAAGGGTATTAAGATTGAAAAGGACTCAAAAAGTTTTGTGAGCCATGCGTTACAGAACTAAGCTTTGGGTGTACTGTGAGAGGAGAGTTACTGAGTCATTTTTCTTTCTCTCTATTGCTTACTACCTGTAATCCAGTAGTCCAATTTCTGTTTCTGTGATTTACTTAGCAGTGAGAGAGAGTATTCTATCACCATTGCAGTTGTTTTGTGTTCTCTATTTTGTCTGTCACATCCCTTGCAGTGACCTGGAGCTCGACTGGTTTTTGTAATAATAACCATGTTTTCAATACAAAATATGTAAATAATAGCAATAGTAGAAGTTGCTGAAGTGAAGGAGTATGAAATTCTGGAAACAAAACCGTTTCTAAAGTTTGTACAAAGTCCCAGATTTACTTCAGCCATTCTATACAGATCTGATCTTGATGCATTAGGCTTCTGAAAGCATGCGTGGAGTTTTTTTGGAGGTACAGGGTTGGGGTTGTGGTGCTGGTGGAGGAGCTTAGTAGACCCATTGCTAACCCACAGTGTTTCGTTCCTCACAAACTTACTAAATGTACCAGGGGAAAACGGATATCTTGGGTTGAACTTTTTTTATAATCAACTCAAACTAGCTGGTAACAATTGAAAAATCAATGAACCAAAGTGTTTCTTAATTAGACAGTCCTTAGGCTAACTGAAATAAAACTGAAATATCATAGTGATTCATTCATTCTCAAGATAAACAGTGCATGCTTTATGTTAATTAAATTACATTATAAACCGATGGAAAACTGAATTTGGCAAGACTTGACAGATTTGTTTTGTATGGAAAATACAATAATATTACCAATGTATAAAACTGAAAACCATTTGAAGATTCAGAAAATGGTTTTGGCAGTTCCTCAAGGGATCTTTTATTGGTTCACCTTTTTCAATTTGTTTTCAGTCCATTGATTCTCAAAGTACTTCCAGAATGCATCAAAAATTACCTTTCATTTATGTTGCTGTATCTCATAATGATACTTAGCAAAATATTCTCAAAAGTGGGAAATATTCAGTACAGAAGTGATGGATAATTCTAATCTTCCAGTCTTTACAATTTGTCTGTTTTAAATACAGAGTTAAGAAAAGCATTCTTCAAAAGGATTTCTGCCTCTTCAGTGAACACTTGTGGGACTATGAAATAACTGATCTGCTTTACGTCAGTAAGTGGAAGTGAGTGTTCTTGTTTATATATGTAATTAGACATCTTGATGATTGAACTGTAGGCATTTCTCTTTTCCTGAAATGCAGTCCCATTTGTTTTCATTCATCTTTGTTTTCTTCTCAAGAAAAAATGTGCGCATGACAATGTCTTTCTGTCCTTCAGTGTCCTGAAGGCAGACAAAATTTGGGTGTATCTTGGCGATATCTACACTGTTGAAGGTATTTGCACCATAGAGTAACCTCTGGAACCACGCAGGGCTAGATGTTGTGGTGCCTCTAACGCTGATGTGCCCACTCCGGGAGTCCAGGACTCCTCTGGGTGCCACATGTGCCCCCGTGGCCCTGGGACAGACTTGCATCCGAGTAACAGACTAGGTTGCTTGAATTCCCACCAATTTGTTTCATTCAGCATGTTGTTATGAGCAAAACAGGAAACACAGATTCAGAGCCAGCGACTGACTGTTAGTCTAGTTAAAATCTTAACAGTCTAATCAAAGACTTAGTATTAGTCCAGATACTAACACAGTTCAAGTTATATACGGTTACAGTGATACAGGCACAGAGTCTGGTACCAAACCCGTTCTCTGGTGTTATCTTCACCCACCCGCTCTGCCTCTGGGACTTGACTGGCTTCAACTGGAAGGGGAAAGTCTTTACAGCAAATCAGCATCCCGAATCCTTCCTTGTCAGGAGGAGGATGGTGATGGTTTCTTCGTCCTCACCTTGGGTCCATTTGGGCTCATTTTTATATGTTTGTTAACACACTCTATTCTATACATTGATTCATGATTCCACGTTACATCTGAATTTACTACATGGTGTGATTTACATATGTTGATTACTTGTTCTTTGTTCTGTATGTTGCCTATAAAACTGGTTTAACCCAGCTCCCATGACTGCATCCCGCTGGTGACCAGTAATTAAGCATAGGTGAGCTGTTACAGCTTCGGGCCCCAGTATTGTCCTGTGTTTGTGCTTTCAGGCCCCTGCAGTCCCCCCATGCCTGTACTCTATGATCCATTTTTGCAAGGGTTGTAGATAGCTTGCTCCAAACATAATAACTACTTGTTATTGCTGTCTGTTATTTATAAACATAAATGTAACAGTAGGTGCCAGACAAGTGTACAAAGCTAAGCAAAAAGCTAAAATGAATTAGATAACTTCCCTGGTTGTTAACTAATTTTGTTGCAGCTAAATAAGCTATAGCAAAGCTCCAGGCACCCAAGATGAGTTCAGACAAACTCTGACAAGTTTTGTGGCCCTTATCGTTAGCTGGAAATGAAGCCTTTGGGTTCAATGACAACACTCCACTTTGTGTGCGTTACAAGTGCTGCTACTGTTTGTAATGTTTTTTTCAGTCAGGGTGACCGTATTAATATGAGGTCTGTGTTACAGCCTTCCAGAATACTGTTTTTATATTTTGTATTAGTATTCTAATATAAATATACTAGTTTATATTTTACATTTTTTTTTCATGCCCTGAGATTCTGTCCTGTGGAGACAGAACTGATGCAGTCTTGCCTGTACACCCTCTAGAGAACATGTTGGTGCCAAGATTCTGCCTGTTTCAGTCCGGGCTTGGTTTGCTCTTCAAGGAGCAAAATCGCACATGTTCTGCACAGGTGTTTGTGAGGCCAGGACTTAGGAGGGGAGCTGTTTGGGAGTAGGGATGCACCCTGATGTGTTCTAATATTTTTACATGATCTTAGTTTTGCACTCATGAGCATATCTGAGGGTCTTCATTATACTTAAAGTCAAACAAGATAATACAATTATGGTTAGGTATGTACTTTTGAAATATTTTTATTAACTGCATTATTTCAGAAAAAAGAACAGTCGTTACTGATCATTTGAATGTTCACAATAACTGATACTTTCCAGCATGTTTAGCAATCTCTAGGACCAGTGGTCTCAAGCATAGCTTGTCTTCTTTCTGGGCTTTGCAGTGCAATTTTAGATTTCATCAGAATCCTCTCTGACGTAAGTTTTAGGCACGTAATTTACTTCGAAAATATTTAGATGCTTCAGAAACATTACTTTGGAAAGTTACTCCCTAAGTCAAGAAAAATACTCTCTTCCAGATAATTCAGTATGAATTTCCCAGCAGCTTCCCCAGTTCAAACATCTGTTGGGATACTTATTTCTGTCTTTCCTTCTGTATGGATGATGAGGGCAGGTTGATTCCAGTCACTGGAGACAGAGTTGTGCTAACAGTGAGCTGCGCCAGAAAGCCTGAATTTGTAATGAAACCTGTCTTGGCAGCTGACACTTCTGTTCTCCTTGGCTATGCAATTCTGCATGTATAGACAGTGGAATAGAAGGCAAAGAAGTATGCTAATTTATTTAATATAGTGAAAAATTTACAGCTCATTTACAGGTATGTTGTATGGACTGCAGTGTGGAAGAGTTTTGATTGAAAGCCGCTCAATTTTTTGCGTGTAGTTTGCTTTACCATTTACAAACGGGCTGGGAGCTTATGTCATTCAACAGGCAGAACTGATGGGCTCTGGTGCAAGTCCTGTTTATTTACCCGTTAGAGGACTGATGTCCTGAAGTTGGATTGAAGCGAGATAGATGGTGAAATGAACTTGAGAGCTCTTCAGAGGGGTGCGAGAGACAAAAGACATCGTAGCCTGAGCATAGTCAGTAAAATACTTCCTAAACTGGTGAGAAAATTCTTTTAACTGAGAAGGGGAGGAAAATTTTGGATATATTTTCTCCATTCTCAGGAAGTGTCTCCAAAAATGCAAAATAAGGTGATTCTACCTTGAGGTTAGGGGATTTTTCAGTTTGTATCAGAAGACAGGCAGCGGGAGCAGCCCGTCTCGTTTGATACCTGCTGCAGATAAAATGTTTACCATATGGCAGCGGTGTGGTCTGTCTTATCTGATATAAAAATCCCAAAAAGGCTGTATTTGCATTTTGCTATAAAGCACGACACAAACGTGTGTGCTCTAGCCAGTTCTTGAAGACAGGAAATAGTAGATGTTGTAGGATACGAGAGTACTTTCTGGGGCACAGACTGTGAATAAATAGGTGCAGTCTCATTAGCAGTTAGGGACAGAATGTCCTCCAGACAAATGGGACAGCTGATTTTCAAGCCCAGTATTTAACGTCACTGGAGTGTCAGAAATTGAGATATGGAAGATTTGGTCAAATTCTACAAATGTCTTCATTCTAGTCACATGAATAAGTTGTTAATTTATTTGGTTAAAAAGTTTTAAACTATGTTTTAAGTTATTTTCATGAATAGTGTCAAGCTTTCGCGTGTCTTCTGTTGTGTTTTCCAAATGCTGCTTTTCCTCCCTCTGTAACCTGGGAGTAATTTCTTATTCTAGATTTAGCAGTGTTAATTTTCTGATTTCTATTTTGGGGATGAAGTGCCTCAAACTACTCAGTGTAATGCTAGTAGCATTCCTAGAGTGATGTTTGTCACATTTAATATAAATATGAAGGCTAATGTAGCACAGCACGTGGCATAAGGTTATAGGAATCCTGAATAATTCTGCAGGGTTTTTTACCTTTCTTTCTTAACTAAGCAGCAAAACAATTCTCACTTTTTTTCCCCTCCCTCTAAATTGTTACAGAAAAAATGCAATCTGAATGATAACTACTGCTTGCTGAACTGAACTGCAAAGCTCTTGTGCTTTGGAGATGAGGATGATAAATCCAAGGAAATAATCCAGCTGCTGCCATTGTGACAACTGAAAGGTCCTTTGTGTCAAAATGAACAGTCTTTGAGAAAAATCTGGAAAGTGGTTAAATCTGAAAAATGGGAGAAAGAGTAAGGAGCCCAGACTCTGAACACGACAGGAAATCAGATGTGGATAAAAATAGTGACTCCTATTATTCAGATGACGATAATGCATCTCATTCATCTGGCCAGTCGCCAACACTAAGTTATCCATCTACAAGCCAAGAAAAAAGAGATCACAAAACACAAACTTCAAACAGCCTTGTGCACTACCAAGGTAGGTAGATAGCAGAGATTGCAGCTTTGTGGCTGCTCTAAAGAGTTAATTATCCTTGAAAGCTGAAATAGAAGTGGGAAACCACCATTATGAGAATCTACAAATAAGGTTCATGTGAATTGTGCTACAGATGGCAGGTAGACTGTAACTGCTCCATTGAAAACTGAAATTAACCTGTTCATGCATAAGCAGGATTTTTGGTGGTTTTCAGAATTACTCATATTTTTCTTAACGAGTGAACGTAGCTCTTATGCTAGCCTTTTGAGGCCAAGGATGCAAGGCAAGTCCTTACTGTGCAGTCAGTGAAAGAGACAATTGTTGAAATTTCTCGGACAAAATTCCCCTGAAGATAGCTCTGTTGTGGAAGTCTAGCTGACTAAGCTTTACAGGGCAGTACTGGGTACTTTAAAAAAATAGACAAATGAAAGACCACTAATTTGGCAAGAGAGAGAAAATGTGTTTGGTGAAAGTTTTTTCCTGGTCCTTCCTTGAGGGTCAGGTATCTCCAATTTGAGATGCAATAGCTCCACTTTGAGCTCCCTCACACACACCTCACCTGCATAAACTGCTTTCTTGGTTGAGACTATGGGGAAGTGAACACCCCTACAAAAAGGGGAAGGACGGTTATACAGGTCCTGGGCTGAAGTGGGGACGTGAAGCCTCTCTGCCACACTTTGACAGCGTGTTCTGAATAGTTGCACGCATTTGCTGGTGAAGTCAGAGCATGTCCTGCCTTTCTCAAGCAAGCGCTCTTACTTCATTCGTAAGTGCTTGATACCGCGTGAAACATTTGGTCAATAACAACGATCTAGATTGTGCCAGAAGATCTAACTGGGAATACTGAAGTTGCCCAGGGAGTGTCTCTCTTCAGACCCTTGGCAGAGTTGGTGTCCTGGTGCGGCTAGTGTTTTGTCGAGCTTCTCTGTGTTCAGAAGTGGCATCTGCTCCATAGCAGCCATGGGTTAGCTTTCTAGGAAACAAAAACTGCAGTTTCCCTGTGTTATTTAATTTGGAGAGGACAAATGAATGACTAGGTCTTTGATTGCATAGCCAGAATTGAACATAATTGTTATGTGAAAGTATTGCAAATGTCAGGTTGTTCTTGAAAGGCACTATTCCCTAATTTAGCGATATTGTGCGAACTTGGCATTGGAATTTTCTGTTCTGACCTAAAGAGAGAGAAATTCTTGAGGGGACTGGAAGTCTAGGGTTCGTGGGAATTCCCTTAGCTGGCAATAGGAGTGGCATCATTCCTGCAGTGCATATATTAGATCATCTTTTCACACCTGAATGTGACAGATGTGTTCTTGGTAAAGGAAAAAAAACCCTTCTTTTTTTTGCCCAATCTGTGGAAAAAATGAGCATCAAGCAGAAAATGAATGAACATTTGTGCAGAATGTTTAGAGGAAATGATACAAAAAAATCTTAAAGCTGCTATTTTTGCTGTAAAATATTCTCTGTAGAATAGAAACATGGTGAGTGCCAAAGGGTAGGAAGAATTTGCTGTCACACACAGTCACTGTCGATGTATAGGTAACAGCACTACTGCTGTATCCCAGCTTTCAAGCCCGAATTAGAAGCTGCTCTCAGTCTGTTTCTTCTGAACACTGATATACCTTAATGAATTATGCACTCTCTATATATTCAGTTGTTTTAAAAGGTATTTTTGATGGATTATATGCTTCATTCTTTGAGTGTGGCTTGAGAGGCAAATAAGATAGAAACAAAATGTTTAGCTTTTATCTGTGGGGATGATAATAAAATAATAATATCAAATAGGAATGCGAGTGATGCATACTATTAATCCAATAAGGATACTGTGTAGCAAATAACTTGTGATACAAGAATAAATTATTCAGGCGAGAACTGAATTTTCATGGGATTTATAATTTTGCTTCAAAGGCTTTTTGCATTGAGGCTTTGAAATCTGCTGTTATGTCTGTAAGTGTGGCAGCTGGATTTGAAAATACTACTGCATTTGTCTGAGAATTACGTCTTGCATAATACGTAGCTAGCTAACGCTTGGCTAATTGTTGCCATTTAAAAAGCATTGATAATATTGTATGCATAGGTGTACAGTATTTCTATAACTTTTTAATAAACAGCATCAAATATTAGCAAAATATGACTGTTGTTTCTGATATGATTTGCAGATTATTACTTTACAATGGTCCTATATTGATGGCTGCAAATACTGCCTCTTACAGTACATCACAAACAAAAATCTCCATTTTTTTATCTATCAAAAGAAGTAGAAGTCTATCATATATATGCCTTTTATTGTTTGGTTTGAAAGCTGCACTCTCTGCTAAGTATTGTAAAATTGTTTTAGGCAGAGCTTTATTCCAAGAAGGGTGTCTGAACAGACAAATTGCATTGTCTTGCAGTAAACATGCTTTTCATTTTTCCTCTCTTAGCCACAAAGAAATTGGGTTCCAAATATGCACCAAGCAAAAGAGGGACACAGTGGGGTTTCCATTCTCAGAGCCTCACTAGGAATTCTCCTGCAAAAGATACAGATCTTGTTACAAAAAGAGTTCTTTCTGCTAGGCTGCTGAAAATCAATGAGCTCCGAAATGAACTGACTGAACTCCACATCAAACTCAATGAGCTGCAGAAGGAAAACAGGGCGCTGAAGAGGCTTCAGCACAGGCAGGAGAAAGCCTTGAATAAGTTTGAAGATACGGAAAACGAAATCTCTCAGCTCCTTGCTCGGCACAGCAATGAGATTAGAATATTAAGGGAGCGCCTACGAAAATCTCAAGAGAGAGAACGTGCAACTGAGAGACGGCTGAAGGATTCAGAAGACGAACTGTACAGAACAAAAACTGTCTTGCAGAAACTGAAAAAGCTGTCTGCAGATAAGCACCTTGCCGAAAGAGATGACCTGGCAAAGAAACTCGCCTATACAGAGAGCAGGCTAGAGGACAGTGAAAAAAGAATTAAGGTGAGATGGCTTTCTTTTCATAAAACATTCTAATACAGGTATTTCTTACCATAATGAGCTTCATTAATTTTATTTTTTCATGGTTGTGGAGCAAAGAGATTTTTTTTTTTTTTTTTTTTTTTTTTTACACATAACTAGCATCAAGTAAATTATTCCCAAGGTGATTATATAGTTTCATAGTTCAAATTTCTGTTTACAAATTAAGTATATTTTGTCAGAACATATACTGTGGACTTGTGCTTCGAAGTGTTGTTATAACTAATAATAACATTTTAAAAATGCATGCAGCTGTGATACAACTTTATGCAGTCTAATTTATTCTCTTGGAGATGAAGCATTTGTTAAAAAATTCGTGGGTATTTAGGGAACTGTATACTAAAATTCTAAAAAAAACATGTATAGAGTAATTCTTTTTCAATTTTGTGAATTGTATTCATGCAGTGTTTGATTGTCCACTATTCTGCACGTTTGAGAGACGAGCTGAACAAAATTATAGCAATTTTTTTAATACCAAAGTGAGCTTTAGAACATTTTACAGGTACCTATTTTAAGAATTTTGTGCAGTATGTTTTAATTTTGTTCAGCAAAAAGGTTTACATTTTTTAAACATGTCTACAAACTCATTTAAAAATAATTGTGTTAACACTATTAAGCTGTTGGCAGTTGTATGCAATGTAGTCTAATATATATTATGTATATAATATTAATATATATTCTGGGTTTTTTAGCTGAATATTTTTTGCTGAAATTATATTTATCATTAAAATGGTGTTAAAGTTTGGTGTCTATATTAGTATTTAAATCTAAATTAGATTACAGAGGTGATAGATCTGGAAATACGGAGGATTAAGTGGGAAACTAAGCTTTCATAAAATAAATCCCAAAATACCAAGATACAAACTGCTGAGTTACCCAAATCCCCTTACCCTGTAGTGTCGCCATCTGGCATCTGTAGTTTTATGATCAGGGATTTTCTTCTACTTTTTTTTCTTTCTCTTGTCATGACAGGTTCACTTAAAACGGCTATTGCAAGGTGAGGGTATGTAAATGAAATCACAAGCACTAATTTATTTCTAGTAGAAAGGTTGAAAATCGTTTCTTGTCTTCTTCCTCCTAGTACTGCACTTTCAGGGAGGTATTTGGTTTCTTAACCATCAGTGTGAGATTTGTCTTAAGAGATCACACCAGAACTGTGCCAAGAGCCTTGCAGAAAGTAGTGCGTGCTCCTATTGTGTCCTCAAGTCACCTCTCAGTACTCCTGAAGGCTGAGCTGCAGCATCTGCAGGTGCTTTGTGTGCCCCTTCAAAGTTAGGATTAAGGGTTTAAATGTATTCAGTGTCACAGCAATGGTGGTGCCGAAATCTGAATCCAAGATGCTGGTTTACTGTAATTTTAGTTAAGTATTTTGACTATAAAAAAGTACTTCAGTTACTAAAAAATACAGTTTTGTTTGAATTGAAGGATCTGGAAAAAAATCTTGAACTAAGTGGTAGCAGTTTTCAACGAGAGCTACATTCAAAGAAAAAAAAGGTATATGAGGCTCAAGAAGAAAACAGAGTTCTCCAAGAAGAGCTTCATCAACTAAATCAGAAATTGAAGGTAGGATGTGAAGCAATACAAGTTGCTACCCATGTTCTGACGTTTTATCTTTGGAAGTATCTCTAATCAGGTTTGAATAGTTTACCGGTGACTGCACTCTCGGATGTCTACTTAATTATATACCACATGCAAGTTCTTTTCCTGCTTTAAATTGAAATGTTTTGTGCTCTGACCCTTCCATGTTTATAACAGGAATGTCTCTACGTTAATCATTATTGTTAGCACTAGTTAAGAAAAGCAAGATCAAGTACACAGCCAAGCATTGCAATTAAACCACAAGATCTACTGGAAAATAAGGTTTTTGAAGGCTTGATTTTTTAAATTATATCTGCAGGTATATACAGTACTTTATGTTACTAGTGTACTTGCATTACAGTAGGTTTGTGTAAAGATTAATTGCATGTATTGGTGATATCCACATGTGTTGCTAAAGGTGTGCAAAGGTTTATTTGTGTCCCCCCACCCCGTTGTGGCCCAAATTCTAAATTTATGGACTGAAAATGTTGTTATGTTCTACGTAGTTGGTTTATCTTTAGGAAAAAAGAAAAAAAAAAAAAGGACTTGAGCTAAAGTACTTAGTTTCTAGGAGAATTTCCTTGAAACCCCAAGACCCAAACATACTCACATAATGGAGATGCGTGGGTTTACCACCTTACTAGCTGTCAAGTTAGCTAGCGTTAGTAACTCAAAACCTTATTTGCTTAGAGTAAGTGTTTTAAGCCCGATTTGCTAGTGGAGAGTTTGATATTTTGAAAGTATTTTCATTATCAGATGATTTCTGATAACTCAGTGTTCAATGTATTTTATTCAATAAATGTCATGAAAGGAGAATATGTCTTTATGATGCAGTGGGCCCCTGCTTGGGTACTGTCACGGCCTGTGACAAGTAACATCGCTAGCATTGAAATGTGTAACTCTTTACAATACTGAAAATTCAGTTGTGCAATCTTTACATACGTTGTACGTCTTATTCACGTTTATGGAAACATGCGCATTTAGTTTTATTTTCACTGCAGAGATGCTTTTTTTTCAGAATATTTTCTAATGAGTTTTGGGAGGGGGGAGTTCTGTCTGCTTTCTTACAGCATAGGAAAAGTTAGGAATGTGATTATTCTCCTTAAAACATTGGACATAACTATTGATTGTTTTGTTTCTGTTTACAACGTGTATTTTTAATTTAATTTACAGCTTTGCAAATAATTAGTAAATTAAACATTAGTAACTTATTCCATTATACCTGCCTTCTTCACTTACAGGAAAAAGAAAGAGAACTCGAAGCAAAAAACATATACGCTAATCGTATGTTGAAGCTATCACCAAGAAGAGACACGGATATTACACAAAGAAAAAGAGGTTACTTATATAAAGCAATAAAGGCAGAAAAATTAAGAGTGACACTTTTAAATTACTTTGCTGCCTTATATCATTCATGCCATTCAGTGTTTGACCCTGCTACTGCTTGTTGAAGAACGTTGACTTTTTTGCACTGTTCTCAGCACAGCCCTGGTTACAAAGAAGGGCACATTGTTTGTTTGACTCTTCTGTAACTGCAGCAGAACCAAAACCCAGAGCTTCATCAATGTTCTTAACTCCTTCATACCAGATGTTCCTGGGTGAAGGAGGAGGGGAAGGTTGTTGAGTAAATCCTCTAACAGATCATAGATAATGTGTATATGACAATAAATTACAGAGGCTTTAAAAATATGTAACTTCACTGCTATGGATATTTGGGGGATTTTTTAAATTTATTTTTTACTAATTCAAATTTACTGTCTGATGAGATGCACTCTTTTTTTTTTTTTTTTCTCCCTCAAAGAGTACATATGTCCCAGAACATAATCTTCTAAAAGTATCAGTGCGGTGATTTCTTCTGGTGTGACAAGGCAGCCTCAAGCCTTATGCTGCCCACGTAAATATGTGTCTATATATGTGTGTGTGCTTAGCCTATTTTCACTGGATCAGTAGAATCTACTTGTCAGAAGAAGCAGGAATTTATGGGACTGTTTTAAATGTTTAATGCCAGTGTTTCAAACAGTTTGTCTGCTGCTCATTTTATTATAGATACTCTACCATTATTCCATTTTAGGTTCAGATTTTTAAAAATGTCATTCCGTGGAGATAAGTGCATGTGTTTCAAAGATGCAAATAAGTGAATTTTAATTTTGAGTTTGCTTCTCTACATGTAGCTTCTGTGACAGGCAGTAAGATGAGTGAGATATTTTGTGGGGGTTTTTTAATAAATATTCAGTATACTGTAATGCTTTTATAAGTAGCTTTAAGGTGGACTTTTTTTTTTTTTTTGAGTAGAAGTTTCGCGTGCAAATTTTTTTAATTAGCTTTTACACGTGCTGAAAACAACTATGTGAAACTTGCCAATGCTTTCCACTTCCATTGGCTCCGATACTGTCTTTTATGTTTGCTGCAAATTATTGAAAATGAGAGATAGGTGTATAGTGGGATATTCTCAAGTGAAAACATGATTTAATTAGTTTGTGTTTTCTACAGTCAACAACCAAAATATTAAAAAAGGAGTACAGCTCACAAAAGGCATACAGACTAGTGGATACTTCTCACCAGTAGAATTTGTTCCAGAACCAGAACTTGTCAGTGGTGACAGAGTAAACAAGAAAGAAGGGATTCTTCCTAAAATGGTGAGTTCCATAAAACTTTGAGACCTGCTCCAGATAACTCACCTGTCAGACTGAATGTTTAATGCAGAGCTTATATTTCAGAAAATATGTATAAATATACAAATATTAATATACAGAAAATGTAATTTAGAAAACATTGTGATCTTTAAGAGAAACTCTGCACTTCCAGAAATATTGTAGTCCATTTTTGTGACACTTAGTTCTTCGTATTCTGTCTTACTGATAACCATTAGCTCAATTTGTTTCTTTTTCTGCCGCTGCCATTTCTTTGAAGTTTTTAAGATTTCATTTTGTTTTTTTCCCCCTTTCTTTATTTCTAATGCTTATTTGAGCGATCTGTTGTAACAGTGCTGGTTGCCTTGTCTCTCTTTTTGCTTTGGTCTTAATTATGGTGTCTTTTACTTTCCAGATTTATTTCACAATGCATAAATCTAACACTTCCTCTTATTGTCATAGTGCTGGTATTTCTTCTGTCATTTTTCCAGCTTTGTGAATATGGTTGGATTTTTTTGTTGTTGTTGCTCCATTTCCCTTTTTATTATAAAATAGTACCATTAGAAGTATTGCTAATACTTCTGTGACCTCAGGTTATAATCAGAGATTTGTAAAGTATTACAAATCAGAATGGCACAGATTCTGGTACAAATTGTACAAATTCTGGTTACAGAAGGCTAGGACTATTTGTCAGAAATAATGCTCTGATGATGGTCTTGACTGGCTTCCCGATAGGACTGAAGCGTTTTCATGGCTGTTCCATTAATATGTTCTCTCCTCCAAAATCCTTTCTGTAAGTATGGATGTAGTTTAATGTATGCATTCTTCCAGCATATACTTTGGTGTATGAGTTACAGAACCACACTGGTACAAGTACAGCTCATGGAATCCAACTGTGTCATCTTACAAATCTCTCTAGTTTGTATGTGGCTAGTGCTTTATGTAACATAAATTAGGTTTGGGTAGCCTGTGCTTTCATCCGTTTTCCAAGTCCAGCATTTTAAATACTTGGCCACCATCTCTTGATGAAGTTTTGATTTTTTTTTTTTAAATATAATAATGATAATCGATAATCTTGTACATGAAGGGAAAAACACTTGAAGTTGTTTTGGCTAATAGTTATGTTTTCTTTGTTCATTAAGTAGTAACCATTTTTCTTATTTCTCTTAGAAGTGTATTTTAATCTAGAAGCTTATTTTACTCTAAAATAAGCACTAGCTACAAAGTTAAGATCCAAATGTTGGATTACGCTGGCTTTCTCTTCACTTCATTGCCACTACTTTTCTGTGTTAGTGATTTTTACTGCTGATATTAATATCTTTTCTGCAGGTTCTTTCCTTTTAAATGTGTACATAGGCTTGCTAGCTGATTTTTTTTTTGTCCAAGATTAAACCTTTCACTGTTAGTTACTTGATACTCCATAACTTTAAGTACCACCGTGAAACTGTCTGAATCTACAACCCACTCACTTGAGTAAAAAGATCAGATAGTGGAAATAGAGGGTAACTAATTGCTTGCTTGTTAAAAGAATAAGGTGGTGGGGTCTGGCCTTCTACTGAAGTCCTTGAAAAAGACGGCTTTGACTTCTGCAGAGAACTACCCTAACACAGTGATAATTTTGCTTTATGACACTGGAGCTGCAACTTTCCCGAAATATATAATACAGAATAGAGTTTATTGTCTATTCTTTGTTTCAGGTGCGTAAAACTATGTTAGAGCTAAGAACATTTTAAGGCCAAAACCCTGGGTTGTCAAACCTGGGTTGGTTTAGATGACTTGCTGATTTTTATCTTTAACAGTGAGAATGTGATTTCAGAATGACATAGAAGTTAATATAATTTTGTCTGTTTGTTTTATTGATTATTTTTCCCCATCAGTTTCAGTTTTGTATTAATTTATTTCAGGAAAAAGAAACTCAAGACAAAGAACGGAAAGAGCAATCAGACCTCCTAAGACAGGACCAAGATGGGGAAATGGAGGACAAACTGAAACGTTTTCAGGAAATACAGACTTTAGAGGAGAGGATTCAAAAACTACATGATGGTAAGGAAACAGGCAGCTGCAGGCTGGAAAATACACTGTAGAATACTAATCAAATAAGGCTGCTAGTCTCCTGTGAGAAGAGCAAAATGATTTTGCAGAGATCACTACAGTGGAAAATTATTTTCAGTTATATTATGCAAAGAGAATCAGAAAGAAATACAGGATATAGAGTAATCTGTATCCTGTACTCAGCTGTGATTAAGTATGCAGCAGTAAAAAATGCTGTCCACTAAAAAATAGCGAAGCCTGAGAGATTTTTGTTTTACAAAACAAGGATGACACAGCAGGTGAATGCTGATCTTATATCTGACTTGCTAGATGTTATTGAGGTAGGCAGTAGATTTTTACTATTGTAGAACAGATCTGCTTTCCTTAATACAGGCACTTTTTTCAGTACATACGTACTCCACTTGTATCGTTTGAAATTGTAGTTTCTCTTTTCATTTGTGGTTATCTGAATCATTTGATGTGGCTGTCTGAGAAATGTCAGTTTCTATCATTATATTTTAATACTGCTTTTTTATTCGTTTGGTTTTCTCAGCATCTTAATGACTTGTATTCACAAGTCTCTTAATATTCTAAAGTATTTTAGATGTACTGCATCCTGTCGTGTTAAAATACTCTTTCAGTGATTATAGTTAATGAAGAGAAGCACTCATTCTAAATGACAAGGAAGAATTTTAAAAAGCTGTAGCTGCTATCAGAGGTAATTTCTGTGTAAAATCTCCTACCTCCACTGACATCAGTGCACAGTTTACACAAGCCAAGAAAGTGCTCTGTTGTGTCTCTTAAGATGATTCTGACCTCCTTTCCCACCTTATAGTATAAGCTGATATTTTCCCCACCTTAGATTCAGGAAGGTAGCTCCTTACTTAATGTGGTGTAGTGATATGCTACTGAAAAAAAATATGTCAAATATATTAACTGAACTGTTGCAGTTACTTCTGTAAGCTTGATCTGATTTACAATATATGACATGGAACTTCTTGAAAGCACCACGAAGAAATTTGAATAAACCATTCAAAGGGGAATGCCAGTATGTTGAAGGGCCCAAGTAGTATATTCAGCTTTTGGGCAAACGCATGTCTGTTGTCTTGATAGAAAAATAGTTTGAAGAGAGAAATAATTTGGGATGCTTCCTTTTTCTTGTGCACAGAAGTATTTGCAGGTCCTGTGTAGAAGTTTATTGGTGTTTTACACCTGTGGTGTCCCTTTATAGCTGTGCAAACTGTCACTGAGTTCGTGTCATGATGCACAGAACACTTGAGTAAAGGTGTTTTCTGTATGCAGCAGATGCAGTATATGTTAAGTCATTCACAGCTTGAAACTGGTAATAACTCCTATGACTTTGTGGCCTGATATGTAGAGAGGAGTTCCGTGTTGTGAGGGGGGGGGGGGGGGGAAGGTAAACCAAAAACACATATCCCACAACCATCCTGAAGTCAGTGATGCCGACAAAGAAAAATAAAGTACTGTGCAAGTCAGAACTGTTAAAATCAGTGATGTTGTATTCATTTTCATTCAAACCCAGGAAATGGGAAGGCAATTGGCAGAAATTAAATGCCTCTGAAAATTCTAAAACATGGATAATGTCCTAATCCCTTTGGAAGATGACAGAAAAACTTATATCTTAGCAGAGAACCTAGTGTGAATTTAGTTGTAATTTTTGAAGAGTTTATTTTTGTGGTAGGAAAACCACATTATGCATAGAAGAGCATATTAAAAACTCACTGGCTTTTGCTTGCATTATTTTCAAAATATTCTTTTAAAGGCATTTTAAAACTAAAACGTTTTAAATAATGTTTAAACATTTCCTGCAGAGTGGGAAAGGGAAGAATATGGCAAAATGAAAAAAGAAAGCAGCTTTTTATCGAATAAAGAAGAGAAAACAAAGATGGAGACGGAAATCCACAAAGCTGAAGTAGAGAGAGAAAGCACTGAATTGCTGGAAGACCGGCAAAAAAGAGAGCTCCTGCTTGCTAAAATGCAAGAAATTGATAGAGAAACTCAAAATGCAACAAACACGAAACCCGCTTCCCAAGCACCACCCACAAATACAGCAAGAAAATCTGAGTCCCTGGAGAAAAAGGAGAAACCTAATCAGTTCTTTGAGATTCCCGGGAAGGTTACTAATGGGTTTCCTGCAGGTGGCAGCCAGGATGATGCCACAAAAGCATCAGGGCAGAAGCAACGAAATCCAAGGACCACAGATTTGAGTAGCGAGTTAACATTTGGTAGTTATGTGCCCTCCTTTGGGAAAGGGTCAGGGAGACCGAGTTGGCTTACTCAAAAAAGTGACAACTTAGAAGAAAATGTTAAGGAAAATGCAGATTTCAATAGTAAGAAAGAAAAGAAGTCAAATTTAATGGAACAGCTCTTTGGAAGCAGTGCCAGTACCATCCTCCTTTCTAAAAATAATAATACAGCACCTTTTGACATAGACTGGGACTCTAGTAATACTCTTCTTGTTGATAAGAACAGTAAAGTCAAAGTAAAAGAAGACAATGAGCTTTTCAACAAAGGAAGAAACCCAGCCAGACACCATTTGCAACACACTACAAACAAGCCAGGAGTTAAGACCCTGGGTTCCTTAGAAGATGAAATCGAAGAAGTAATCTTACACTGATCATATTTTTACATGTTTCATGTGTAGATACTTAAAAAATATTTTCGTGTAATATTTATTAGATACAGATTTGAAACATTTCAGGTATATTGTAAAGCCTTATGAAGGAATAATTTACATGAATGGATGTATGTATAGAGGAAAGATGCACTTTGATAGAACAGCCTAACCTATATGCAGCAAATTTCTTCTGAAATGTAGTAGACAAATACAGACCTTGGAGATGTGACAGTGAGTCTTTTGGCAGAAGGACCAGCAAGGTTTCCTGGGGGACTTGGGTGGATGAGATCGGCGCTGGCTGGCAGCTTCAGTTGGCCAGAGGAGATGCTTTTGCCCCAACTTGGGCTCTGGACTGGCTGTCGCTGTTGCCACGCGGCACCATCTGACTTCTGCAGCTGTGGGTCGGGGTGCGAGAGGCTCGGTAGCGCAGAGCCAACAGGGATGCCGTAGGGATGGAAGCACTTGCAGAAGCTCACGCTCCCTTGCGCCCTTTGCTCACACTCCCTCTCACACACCCTTCGCACTCCCTCTCTTGCTCTCTTGTGCGCTCTCTGTCTTCCCCCCTAGTCCTTCTCTCTATGTCTTGCT